AAATAAAAATATATTTTTTAAAAAGGGCTGGTTATATAACTCAGGTGGAATGCTCCTGAGTTCAATTTCCACACACACACAAAAAAAAAAAAAGGAAGGGAGGGAGGGAGGGAAGAAGGAAGGGAGGGAGGAAAAAAGAAAGGGAGGGCACATTATTAAAGATTCTCATCTATGTTAATGGCACAATTTCACCTTTTGGAACCATGACAAAACTTAAGATGTGATTGAATACAATGATTAATTATTCTGGAGTCTGAAGCAGGTCCAGTGCACTCTGTTCTCAAATTTCAGAATTTAAATGGGTGGAATGTATTAGTTCTCAAAAAGCAATAAACAATCATATATTGCTTGACAAAGGAGATTCAATTTAGGAAATGTATCATAGATGATTTCATTACTGTGATTATCAGAGAGAATTCTTTTTTTTTTTAAGAGAGAGAGAGAGATAGATAGAGGAGAGAGAGAAATTTTTTAATATTTATTTTTTAGTTTTCGGGGGACACAACATCTTTTGTTTTTGAATGTGGTGTTGAGGATTGAATCCGGGCCACATGCATGCCAGGCGAGCGCGCTACCGCTTGAGCCACATCCCCAGCCCCAGAGAGAATTCTTATATAAACCCAGAAGATAAAGGTCAATCACTCAACATGCCTCTTGATGTGATCAAGAGACTCAGTAAACATGAAATGTATGAGACTGTTGACACTGAAACATGGCATGCTGCTTTATTAGTAAACTATTTTTTTTAAGTAGGAGAGAACTCTAAACAATAAAAAACGCAGTATAATATAGAAAATCAGTAATAGTTCTTTCTCATGATCCAGCATTATGGGGATGTGGCACTCTGGGTTCAATCATAATTGTACATGCTCTATTTTTATTTATTTAGTTTTCTTTTTGGTACTGGATATTGAATCCATGGAGAGGGGAGTTACCACTGAGCTACATCCCCAGCCCTTTTTATTATTTATTTAGAAGCAGGGCCTCACTAAGTTGTTTAGAGTCTGGCTAAATTTAGGGTCTGCTGAGGCTGGCTTTGAACTTGCAATTAATTCTCCTGCCTCAGCCTCCCAAGCTACTGGTATTATAGGCGTGTGCCACCACGCCCGGGTGTGCTATACTTCTATACAATTAGCAGTATAGTGAGTTTGTTTACACCAACATTATCACAGTGCGCTACAGCATCACTCAAGTATTAGTTTATTACCTTTTGAGACCACTGTTGTACACACAGTTCATCTTTGACCAAAACATTGACATGTGATTTGTGACTGTAGTTTGACCCCCAATTTCACTTCCTTACAAATATACTATGAGGTAAAAGAGATGAAAAGACCTGGCTGCTTGCATACCCCTGATTAATGGAAATAGAGATTTGCAGAGTAGCTCCATACTCCATTTAATTCCTCCCTCCCTGACTCTAGAAATGCTTGATTTGGCTGTGTAAAAGTAATTCTAATTATAGTGATTTACATGAACTACTTACCATTTATGCCTAATTACCTCACAGCACAATAACAATTATGCATACATTAAATGTGTCAGATTAACCTGGCTGTATGTTTTATTTGATAACAAAAATGTCCATAAATGTTCGTTCTTCACAGTTTGTTGCTCATATGGCATAGTCATCTGTTCATAACTTCTTCAAATGTTTACTAGAGAAAACATCGTTATATAGATAGGTAAAGGCAGCCAAATATTTTGCAATAAACTTTTCTAATTAATTATAAATCCAGCATTTTGTGAAGGAGATATATTTTGTTTCAATAGCTTAAGCTTATAAAAAGTTTCTTAGGACTATCATGGGGAAAAAAAATAAGTCCACCATAATGAATGTTTAAACATCTACATTAAAACCAAAATCAAAGTTCATAAAATCATAAATCTTGCCGGAATTAAGAATACTACAAATAAAGTTCTTCTATTACTAGAAAATCTAATAGCCACACCCCATTCTGGGCAACTCAGGAGGCTGAGATGGGAAGATAGATTTTTGGAGCAGCTTCAGCAACTTAGAAAGATCCTGCCTCAAAAAAAAAAAAAATATAAAAAGGGCTGGGGATGTAGCACCTCTGGGTTCAATCACTACAAGGGGTAAAAGGAAAGGAATGAAGGAAGAGAGGGAGGGAGGAAGAAAACCTAATAGCCCAAATTTATCTTCTGTATAACTGGCAAATACTTATTTAATTTCAAAAGAAATGGTCTGTGTCATCTTTACAATCATCAAAAATTAAAGTTTTATATATGTGGTTTTCTCAGATTATATTGGATATTTAGGTCTTTTTCAATGTTTTAAAGATTTGGGGGCTTCATAAACTATAGGACAAACTACTATCACAAAGATGCTGCTATAACTGCTAAACATTTATTTATATATGCACTAGGATTTAATAAATGTGACTTTTCATTAATAAAACTTGAAACTCTAGCTGACACATCAAATCTTCCATTTATATAAGCTTAAACCACACAATAAAACCAGAGTTATTGGGGCTGGGGTTGTGGCTCAGTAGTGGAGCACTTACCTCGAACGTGTGAGACCCTAGGTTCGATCCTCAGCACCACATAAAAATAAATAAACAAAATAAAGATATTGTGCCCATGTATAACTAAAAAAATATTTTAAAAAATAATAAAAAAAAGAGTTACTAAACTACACTGGTCCATTATACACAATTCAGAAGTCAAAAGTAGAAAGAAAAAAAAGAAATCAAAGGTAGAAGTATAGGAGAATATACCTAAAAGAGCTAATCAATTTAAAGAAAAAAAATTATCATTGTTGAATTGATAACTAGATAAGGTAATGACTATAGTCAACTTCCTATTACTTTAAGGAAATACTTGAGATCAATAAACTCAAGAAGAGGAAATGTTTACTTTGGCTCACAGTTTGTAAGGTTTCAGTCCTTGACTACAATTGACCCCACTGCTTTGGGTCTGTGGTGGCAGAGTACCTCATGGCAGGAGTATAACTCTGAGGGGGTCTAGTTACACCATAGCAACAAAGCAAAAGAGAAAAAAAGAAAAGGCTAGGATATCCCCCTTTTAGGGGACAAGGCTTTAACACATGGGCCTTTGGGGAACATTCTAGATTCAAACTATATTAATGATCAAAGGTTACTTGTGATTGGATGGAAGTTCACTAACCAATATAAGATAAGCCCTAGGGATGCTACAGAGTAGGAAAGGGGAATAAAAGAAATGTACTTCCATGGGCAAGGATTGTAGCTCAGTGGTAGAGCACCTGTCTAGCATGTGTGAGGAACTGGATTCGATCATCAGCACCAGGTAAAAACAAATAAACAAAATAAAGGTATTATGTCCATCTACAACTTAAAAATAAAAAAAGAATTAAAAGAAATGTATTTCCAAAACGGACAAGAAATAGAACATGATACAGAATTCTTAAAAGCAATTGAATTCTCATATACCAAAAAATTTCAGGTAAGTAAAACATGTTTTTTCTTGGCCATGCCATTATTACCAAGTTTTTATTTTATTTGGAAGACTCCCTGTATTCCATATGATATGTAAAACATGAGCAACCTATGTTAAGTTCTTTTCTTACTTATAAACAAACTTACGAAAGTCTAAGAAAACAAAGGTTCATCATCAAAAAGGATAATTCATCATTATATCATATAATCATTGTGCTGGACTGGTCAATCATGGTGTCTGCCACATTCCCAGTCTACTCCTGAGGGAAACTTCCAAGCTCATAGTAAAAGCCCTGAATGGTATGTAAGAAAGGTCAAATCTTTTTTTTTTCCCCCAGCAGTACTGGAGATTGAACCCAGAGTTGCTCTACGACACTACATCCTGAGCTCTTTTTATTTGTTATTTTGAGTCAGAATCTCACTAAATTGTCAACACTGGCCTCAAACTTGCAATTCCCCTGGCTCAGTCTCCTGAGGAGCTGGAATTATAGGTGTAGGCCACTGTGCCCTGCCAGGAAAGACCTAAAAAAAAAAAAAAATGGCAAAAGCAGCTCTAAAACCAAAGTAGAACTGAACAGAATGATCAAGGTAGAAAGTTTTTAGCTGGGTTAGTAATGCTATGGTATTTCCCTCATGCCAAGCGTGGGAGGTTCACAAATGAAATATCCAAAGAGATTAGGGTTGAGTACAAAATGAGGTGGGCATCCCCCCTCAACAGATGGATGTTTGCTTAGGTGAGGAAATCTACAGACAGCTACCAAAGCACAGTGTGGAAGAGTTCACGAAAGAACTTGACATGTGTCTTCAGGAATATGTACAGGACAAGGACAACCTGGTACCTGCTTCTTGCCTATAGTCCAAAGGCAGAAGGGTAAATAAAGCTCTCTATGCAATAGGGGTTGGAGAAACAAGATGATATGCTTCTTGTAACCTAAGTGGACACCATTAAAGGTGATCCAGTGAGAGCTATCCTAACAAGACCCTACCCAAGAAGGTTAAGTACAAGGGGAAAAGGTCCCACTAGAATACAAAGATTTGAGGTGTTTCCCCAGAGCCGTAAGAGCTCAAAGAATATAGCAGTATGGAGGTAATCCAGGACCAATGAGCCCTTTCAAAAAGAGCTAGCAAGTCAGCATCTATCAACCAAAGGCCCCAACAGCTGATGGGCAACTAAGATGGTTATTTCCCTCTAATCTTTCATCCCTCTCATTCTGACTCTAGAGAAAGGAGGAGGAAAGGGGAAAAAACAAATCACTCCCCCTTCTCCATTGCTGATCCCAGGTGAGGCCTGAACTAAAGAAAAGGGAAAGATTGGAATTATATAGAAGTTTTCCTTTAGATTGGACTGCACTTTTTAACAATCTAATTAGAAAGCTGTTTAAATCCCTAAAGGCAAAAAGACAGCTACAGGACATCAAGAGGTCAGGGATCTAATAGAGCTTGTTTAAAGGATCTGTAGGAAATTCTCAAGCTGTTTCATTATGCCTCATTGCACTGAATCCATTTTATAAAATACTTACACTTGAAACTGTTCCATCTTTAATGTTACATAAACCTCACCTTTGAAAAAAGACCTTCTGCCTCTATGCTGTATCCTCTAAGGTCCTCATGTAATTTCTGCAAACACTGTATCACTCTTCTTTGATGTTCATCATCCTTTAGCTCATGAGCTTTGATCAGAAAATCATAGTGATCCAGAGGTCCATGACAAACAGCCAAAGCTTTCAAATAGGCCTTGGAAGCAGCAGCAGTTGGGGTCACACTCTCAGGCGGCTGTACCATATACGCTATAAACAAAAACATATGTAAAATTTTAGACTTTCTTAAATGAGGATATTTCATACAGCGCTCTTTCTCGCTCTTTCTCTCTCTCTCTCTCTTTCTCTCTCTCTCTCTCTCTCTCTCTCTCTCTCTCTCTCTCTATATATATATATATATATATATATATATCTCACATTAAAACTTTTAAGTATATATATATATATCACATTAAAACTTTTAAGTAGTTAAACTATATCTAAAGGCAGGCACAGTGTACATAATCCCAACTTCTCAGGAGGCTGAGACAGGAGAATCACAAGTTCAAGGCCAGCCTCAACAATTTAACAAGGCCTGTCTCAAGTGAAAAATAAAAAGGGCTGGGGATATAGCTCAGTGGTAAAGCGCCCCCAGGTTCAATCCTCAATACCAAAAAAATTCTGTATCTATTTGAGCAGTTTTTATAATTGCCATTTTGATTAAAATAATACAAAATAAATTTTAAAAAATAAGTACTTACAATTGCTCATTTTTGAAAAAAATACATTCAAAAACCATAAACTATACTTGTAACTACTTTTCTAGAAAACCTGATCTGCTATAGGGCCTCTACTTTGCCTGTGTGCTATTAAACCAGCCACCTAAATTCCAGAGCTCTTCCCTAGAAGCAGGTGGTACTCTTTTTGAGCCAGGCCTAGTTACTTCTGGTGCTTAAGCACCACAAAGAAACTTGGAGATGAGTCTCAAAGGGTTTTCTACAGCCCCATTATTCTCTGTTCAAAACAACACAACACTCAGATGTTATATTGATTTCAGCCCTTATGAGATTTCTTCCCCTTTCCATAACCTTTACAGAAGGAAACAGAAGTTACACACAAGACAGGCTTCAAAGCAGGGTAGTAGTCTGATCCTTTCTTTAATCTTCTCCTGGGTAAGAAAACAACCAGTTGAGGTCAAATTCAATCATAATTTCATTCCTTATCTGGGGCAGGTTTAGTGGCTAAGGTAGCTCCCTTTCTATTTTTAATTAATTCATTTATTTAGTTGGTGCTGGAGATGAACCAAGGGCCTCTCACACATGTTAAGACTGCACATTTGTACCACTCAGCTATGCTTCCAGCACCCAGCTGTGTAGACACATAGAAGGAAAACAGGCAGACAGACATATTACTGGGAACTGAACCCAGAGGTTCTTTACCACTGACCCTAGCTGAAAGGGTGCTGAAAGCCTATAGAGAACGTAAGGATCTCTGAAACACTGGGCCTCAGAAGATCTACAACGAGACTTGGTTCAATATTAAAGCTGGAGGTCCAAGATGAATGCCCTAAAGATTCCCAGCTATCCAGGCACAGGCCTATAATCCCAGAGGCTCAGGAGGCTGAGGTAGGAAAATTGTGAGTTCAAAGCCAGACTCAGCAAAAGCAAAGCGCTAAGCAACTCAGTGAGACCCCATGTCTAAATAAAACACAAAATAGGGCTGGGGATGTGGCTCAGTGGTCAAGTGTCCCTGAGTTCAATCCCTGGTACCCACCCCCAAAAAAAGATTCCCAGCTATTTGAGATATTTGCCAGTGTGGCCTAATACATTTGGTTCTTGACACAGAGCTCCTAAAACCATCCCTAGGAATTTCCTGAATGAGAGCAGTGTCTTTTATTATTCAAAATGAGCCCCTTTCTCTCACACTTAGATTTAGGATAATGAGGTATCTTAGGGTAGAGCTCCTAGATAACTTCCAGACAGATAGGGTAGCCAGAAAGATTTCATTAGGACATTCAATGCCACCCATAGGACTCTGGGGAGGGGAGGGACGACTGAGGACTAAACTCCATAAACACTCTTAAATCATGGAGATTTGAACAGCTTCTGAATACATCTAGGAACTGACAAGGTAGGGTGCCCTGCCCCTCCCCGATACCTTGCTTTATGCATCACTTCCATTTGGCTGTTCCTGGGTTGATTTTTATAACAAACCCGTGTTCTCCTGAGTTCTGTGAGAACTATTTTCTAACAAAAATAAGGAATCTCTGAATCTGTAGTTGGGATATGTATGGATAGTCTAGGAACCCCATTTGCACTGGCATCTAAAGTGTGAACATTTTGTAAGACTTACCCCTTTTACTTGTGGGAACTGCTGTTCATTCCAAGTAGATACTATCAGAACTGAACAGAATTCTTGGACACCCACTCACAACCAGAGAAAATGCTCTTTTCACCCTCTTCTTTAATTTTCTGGAACCAATTAAGTGAGAAACCTAAGAGTAATGCTAATTTCTTTCCCTCCATGCTATAACTCCATCCCCTGCCCCTCAACCAGGTTTTCAGCCAAACTCCAGTATTGCTCAGTTCTACATTCATCCCTCCTTCCTTTCCTCATGCTATATCATCCCCAGGTTGGGCTCTCATGACTGTCTCTCTCTTGGCCTGTCATAGTAGCCTCTCTGCCTCGGATGGCCTCCAGTGACCCAAATTTAGCATTATCAAGATCCCTAAAATATCTTCCACCAATCCAAATGTGACTTCATGAAAATTTTCCTTGTATCAAGACAAAATTACAACAAATTTAGTTTAAGTGTTAGGTAGTAGCTAGCAATGAGTAGTGAAATGCATGACACGGTCACAAATGTTCTTTAAATTACTTTAGGGTCCTTCTTTAAACTACTTCCAGAGTAGAAAAGAAAGCAAAGGGTGATAGTTAAATTGTAGAAAATAAACAGAAGTAAAAGGAGCTAGTTGGAAATATGTCAAGAGAAAAGGATTAATGAGACTAACTCTGGACAGGGTCCATGGATATTGACATAAAGCTAGGAATTATGGCGACACGTGTCGCCAATTGTCTGGGAAGGAAGATTCCTTTAGTAGCACAGGCTCACTAAAGTACCTTCTGACCAGCTATTGACCCCAGTGCCTACATTAACATGGGATTGACTTGTAGATGAAGCCCCCCTAAATAGGATGGCCACCAATGCAGTTCCAGAGAGGACCAACTAAGCTTAAAACCTCCACCTGAAGTGATGAAGGAGTTGAACACCTAACTGGCAAAGAGTATATAGAAGGTGGTCCCCAGTTCTTCTGGTAAACATCAAACAGTAATAAAATTGGGGGCAGTACTGTCTCTTTTGTTGTTCTCTGCTTGGAGACAGTCCACTCTCTCCCTTGAGAGTGCTTTTTGCTTAAGCCTCACTTTTCTTTTATTTTTGCCTCACTTTCATTTCTAATAAAGTTCTCTTGCATGACTTTTGGTGTCTGACTTTAAATCTTCTTTCATCGGAACATAAAAACCAAGGTTTGGAGTTTTAGCTCCCTGCTTTCCTGTGACATAAGGACCTTAATTGGCCAAGTGCAGTGACATCTATAATCCCAGCAACTAGGGAGATTGAGTCAGAAGGATTGCAAGTTCAAAGCCAACCTCAGCAATTTATAGGAACCTTGAGGAATTTAGCAAAGACCCTGTCTCAAAATAAAAAGACTGGGGATGTAGCTCAGTCATAAAGCACCCCTGGGTTCAATCCCCAGTAACCCCCCCAAAAAAAGGAAAATTCAGAAGAGAGGTACACAAAGTCCCACCCATTTCACGTCTCCCTCATGTGTATACCCACACCACTACCATTTCCCAAGAGCCCCTAAGGCCACTCTCCCACCTTTTAAGATCACATTAAGTACAAACACTGCAGAAAAGGGTTAACACAGCAGGCCTGAGACTGCTGTTCAAAGACCTATTCACAATATTGGCCCTTGGATGTTACTTGAATTCCAAGAAAGTTCTCACTGTTCCCAGAAATGGTAAGAGTGATTCACCATGCCTAAGTTTTTATAGTTTATGCTGAACACCTAGTTTCCTTCTATCCTTATGGAATTTTGACACATGCTAAGCTGAGGTACCTATGTGATCACGCCCCAATAAAAAACAGTATCTGTAATGACCTTCCCTGGAATACAACATTTCTTTCCTGCTGACACCATTAGTTGTTGGAGGTGGTAAGCATGTTCCATGTAATTCAACTGGAAGAGGATTTTTAGAAGCTTGTTGCCTGACATCTTTCAGCCTTTGTTACGTGTACCTTTCCCTTAGCTCACTGTGCTTCCTATGCTGTTGCTACACTAAATAAGTTATAGCCATGAGGTATGACTGCATCTTGTGAGTCCTCCTAGAGAACCATCAAACCTGGCAGTGATCCCATGACACAGAGTATTTTCATTCTGGAGTTCAAGGAATCCATAAAACAGGCTCAACTTAAATTCAAGATTATTCTCTTTCTGCTTTCCAAAATGCACTCTTGATGCAAGAAGTGACTGAGTATCTACCACATATAATGGAGAATATCAAAATTGTTTGTTTTTTTTTTTAAGTGAGGGTAGAATGACAAAACTTTGGAACAACAATATATTAAGATTCTGGCTGAACTGGGCATGGTGGCACACACCTGTTATCTCAGCAGCTTGGGGGGCTGAGGCAGAAAGAAGGATCGCAAGTTCAAAGCCAGACTCAGCAATTTAGAGAGGCCCTGAGCAACTTAGTGAAACCCTGTCTCAAAATAAAAAATAAAAAAACTGGCTGGGGATGTGGCTCAGTGGTTAAGTGCCCAGTTTCAATCCCTGGTACAAAAAAAAAAAAAAAAAAAAAAAGACTCTGGCTGGCTGGACATGTGGCACACACCTCTAATTCTAGCTCCTTAGAAGGCTGAGGCAGGAAGATACAAGCGCAGGCCAGCATGTGCAATTTAGTGACATGCTATCTCAAAATAAAAACTTAAACAGTGAGGGATATAGCTCAATGGAAGAACAACCCTGGGTTCAATTCCCAGCACCATGAAAAAATGAAAAAAGAATCTTTCTATATATGATACACACACATATATTTATACATATTTTGGGGATAGGGCTGGGCATGGTGGCACACAGCTGTAATCCCAGCTGCTGAGGAGGCTGAGGCAGGAGAATTGCAAGTTTGAGGCCAGCCTGGACAATGTAGCAAGACCCTGTTTCAAGATAAAATTTTTTTAAAAGGGTTAGGGATATAGCTCTGTGGTA